CGCGGGGCGGCGGCTCCCGCGCACCTGCAGGAAGCGGATGAGGTAGCACAGCACCAGGCGGTTGATGCGGGGCAGCGCGTGCACCACCGCCACGGCGGCCTCGGGGCTCTCGTAGTGCGCGATGCACTGCTCGTAGAACTCGTGCGGGATCAGCGGCTCCTCCAGCTCGCGGTACCACAGCTTCAGCAGGGACGCTGCCGACACAGCGGGCTCAGTGGCTGGCGCCGACCCACCGGCCCGCCGCAGCCGCGAGGGCTGGGGGCAGGGCGGGAGGGGCGGCGGTGGCCGTGGCCCTCGGGAGCAGCAGGTGCTTCTCAGAGGGAGTCCAGGCCGGACCTGCGCCCGCCGCCCAGGGCCGGGGGCTCACCGGGCACGTGGGGGTCCTCCAGCCCCGTGGGCACCTTCCACTGATCGACCTGCAGCTTCAGGGCATTCACCTCGTCAATGTCTCCAGGGACCCTGCGGGACACGGTGGGCTCTCAGGACAGGGTCAGACCAGTCTCCCCGCGGGCCCTGGGGCCTGGGCACCCACCGCCTGACCGCGCGCCACAGGGCGCAGCCTGCGTGCACCCTCCCTAGGGGCTGGTCCTCAGGTGAGGCCAGTTTGCAGGGGCTGCTGCAGGGTCGCCTCAGCCTCTGCGGGGTGGCCGCTCAGGCCCTGGGCCCCAGGGGCCTTTTCTGCAGGTGCCCCTGTCCGGGCCAGCCCTCTGGCCTCCCTGGGCTCACTGCTGTGCGGGTCAACCTCACTGCACAGTGGCCTCCCAGTGCCAGCCCCTGCAGGCCCCGGACCACAGTGGCGGGCTGCTGGGCACCTGAAGATGCCTTCCGTCTGGTCGCCGTTGAGTGCCAGCACCTCCTCGGACAGCCGAGTCTGCACCCAGGGCAGCTGCCGGTCGGGGTAGCGCTCCCTCTGCATGGTCATGACCTCCTGCAGCCCGCTGCCAAACATGGACGGGCTGAACACCGCGTTCCTGGCGTGCCGGATCTCCTCCACGTTGGGCTTCTTCAGGCCCTGCAAAGACACCGGCTGTCCTGGCCCAGCCAGCCACCTGCCCCCCATGCTGCCCCTGCCCCCAGCATCCCCCCCCCA